CCCAAACACCACCCAACACCATCCAACACCACCCAAACAACACCAACACCATCCAACACCACCCAAACAACACCCAACACTACCCAACACCACCCAACACCATCCAACACCACCCAAACAACACCCAACACCATCCAACACCACCCAACTGCCGACCGACGACCGATCAGACCTGACCAGAGGAAAAATAAGAGGAGGAGGCTATAATAATAATAATGATAATAATAATTATCATCATCATCATAACTTATTATTGTTATAGTAATAATGAAGACGCTCTCAAGACGCCATCCCCACTGTGAGACATGGTGAGGGCAGTATCATGCCGAGGGGAAGTTTCGTCAGAACAGACCTGATCAGGAAGCTGCAGAGCTGCAGGAAGTGTCAGGGTGTTACTAAACGGGTTCGGAACCAGAACCAGGACCAGTACCTGCAGAGGAAGCCCAGCTGGAGAACATGCAACAGGCAGAACAGTCTGGCTCGGTCCTCGCAGAACAGGCTCCCTGTCCCGGCGGTCTGCTCGCTGAAGCCCGGCAGCTCCCGGTCGTACTGGAACCAGAACCAGCTGAACATTTGGACCACGACAGAGGACAGAACCATGAGGCCGAGCAGCAACCCGAACCAGAACAAGTCTCCCCGGCAGTAGAAACTCCTTGGCCAGCCACAGGTCGGAGCCCCAGTCCAGCAGGAAGGTGCAAACTCCCACCACCGAGAAGGCGAAGTCGATCCAGGAGTACCTGGAGGCGGTTCTGCTCTCCATCTGGACCGGGCGGTTCGTAGAACCGGGGCAGACCTGTTGCAGCGAGGCTAGCAGCAGCCGGGCTAACATGGGACCGTTACGGGCGGAGCATCCCCGGCGTCCCCGCAGGGGGACCACCAACTCCCACCAACTTCCTCATTCCTCTGGGGCTCTGCCGGAAGATGTCGGAGCCTGAACCTGGGAGAAGTTGGGCGGAACCAGTCCGCCTCAGAAGTTCGACCAGAACTTGGAAGATATTTCTTGTCGACCGTCAGTAGCTCCGCCCCCCGCTCGGTCAGTCCGGGACAGCGCGGTGATCACTTTAACCGCACCTCCGCATTGTCCCTGAACTTCTGCAGATTATGTCAACATTTTCACGTCATCATTGAAATAAAAAAACATTGAGATGATTTTTGTATTTCAGTATCTTTATTTTCCACTGGCTGGAGTTTCTGTCCTTTTTCTATCTGGTTCTTCCTGGTTTTCCACTAAATTTGATTCAGATTTGATCCCAATTCTGTTCTGGTTTTAATCACAAATTTCTTTTTGTGTTATAATTTTTTTGTGTTCTCTAACTGATATCATTCTTGTTTAATTTTTATTTTCTTTTAATCAGAAGGTTGTGTGTTCAAATCACGTCGGGATCACCAATGTGGGAGAAGGAGAAAATATAATTTGAGTCTTGTTTTATTCTCAGTGTCTTCCAATCCAAACAAAAATAGAATGCAGTGAGAATGTCTTCTCACTTTCTCCCCTTCACAATAAGAGTATACATTCGAGTGTGAAATATATGCATTGTATACACAACAATCTTTTAATTTTAAAATGAAATGCTGAGTTTTGTTTTGCCAGATTGGAAATAGTTTTTACTCTGGTTTCGTTCTGACCTTATTTATCTGATTTTACTGGGTTGCACTAGCTACATTTGTACTTGCTGTATACTTTTGAAATTGTTATATTTTTCTTCCCATTTCATTCTGGTTCCATACATCTATGAATCAGATTAGAAAATGCTCAGTTCCTGATAATTATGCATCCAGCAGCTGCATAAACTCTCCAGCTGTCTCCAGGCCAGAGATTATCTGGCCCTCCCTAGTTTTCCTGTCTCCTGCTGGTGGATTTATCAGAATTTGACTGTTTCAGTCTGATTTTATTCAGGTTTTGTTCTGGTTGTAAAGCTATGACAAGCAGCTGAACATCAACCTGGGAAGGGTTAAAGGTCATCTCCAAACCATCTGAAGTCCATCATCTTGCAGGCCTCAGGCAGCTCTGTAAAGGTTAAAGTTTATGAGAGGCCAGCTAGAAAAGAGCGGCGGAAATTAAGAGAACTTTCGATGTTTATTTTTCTATTTCCTCGTATTGCTTAAGTATTTAATTCAATTTATTGATTGATTACTTGTTTTTTGCACCTTAACATCTATTTCTGTTTTCTAAAGACTTGTTCAAGCCCCGCCCCTCGTCCTCTAGCAGCCAATCAGATCAGAGGTCCTCCGCGTCGCGCGCCCTCCTGTTGTTCTCTTTCTTTCTGCAGCTCACAGGTTAGCTAACAGGTTCGGAAACATGTCCCGGGTCTACATCGGTCGGCTGAGCTACAGAGCCAGGGAGAAGGACGTGGAGAGGTTCTTCAAGGGTTATGGGAAGATTCTGGAAGTGGACCTGAAAAATGGGTAAGGAACCGAGCGAACGACGGCTCGGGCCTGGTTGGCGTGGACGGGCCTGAGATGCTAATGCTAGTTAGCATATTTAAGACAAAGAACCTGCGCTGTTTGGGTCACCTGGAAACCATCAAAGTCTCTTTAATGTCTCCTTTGCTCCATGTTGGTGCCAAGCTGGCGCTGCTGGCCGCCCTGCGGGCTGAAGGGGCCGGATACGCCGCTGCGTGGCGCCGGCAGCCGCGGCTAGGCTAATGTTAGACGTGGCAGAGGAGAGGAGGGCGAACCGTTAAACCGAACCGGTCCAGTTGAAAGTATCATCGACACCATTTCTGTTATAGTTGGACAGATGGGAAACTGTTAGAAAAATAACCACAGCCATCATTATTTATTTACATTAAATTTTCCTTTGGGATCAATAAAGTGTTTCTGAATATGATTGTAAATATAAATGTATTTTTATTTTTCATAGAATGAGAGGGAAATAAAAAGGAAATGTGCTTTAAAATTCTGTTTTATAGTCCTGGTTCAATAGGGAGCACTGAAATAATTTCATAATCACTCATGTGAAATAATATAATTCTACTTTTAAAATGTCTAGCTTTATCACTAATTTAAGAAAAGAGCAGTCAATGGGTTCATCATTTATAACATTGGCAGGTTATTGATACCAGTGTTAAAATAATTCAAATAAATGTAAAAATTTATGATATAAAATGTCATTAATGTGCTTAGGGCTAGTGGCTAATACAGTTTAAAAACAGTTATTTCAATAACTATAGGGTCAGGTCTAACAGGACTGTTATTTGTCCGAAAGATCCTAAAACTTTATTTTGTCTGATTTGTTTGTTGAAGTGCGCATTTCTTTGTTTATTTGTGTCACATCATTGATTAAATGTTCATTCTCCAGGATGATTCGGTGTAAATGTTCTTGTTCCTGTGCAGCTACGGCTTTGTAGAGTTCGATGACCCTCGTGATGCAGACGATGCCGTGTACGACCTGAACGGCAAAGAGCTGTGTGGGGAGAGGGTCATCGTGGAGCACACCAAGGGGCCGCGGCGGGACGGGGGCTACACCGGGGGCCGCAGTGAGTCTCCTCACCGCCGTTCGCTCTCATCATGATCTGATCGGAACGGGACCAAAGCTGAGGCTGGTTCTTGGTGGCTGATGTCTCTTTATTAATATTCTGGTTTGATCTGTTTGGTCTGAGGGAGCCTCTCAGAGCTGTGGGGTCATGGCAGAGAGATGTAACCTTTGACCTCTCATCTCCAGATTAAAGCCTCTAGCTAGCTTAGAAAAAAAGTTAAACTGCAAAGTTCTACAGCTAAAGATCATTTAAGTCATTGATCATTCTGATGATTAATCTGACCCCCCTCCCCCCCAGCTGTTTGAGGTTCTGGTGATTTTCTGTCATCAGATCCACCAACTACTGAGCGAAGTCCAGGTCAAAGCTTAATGGCAAAGTGATGATGATGTGAATATGGGAATGGCTTAATGACTTGAAGAATAATGCTAAATGAAATATTGTGTAATATTTGCTAAATATGATGTGATAAATTTCTTGCTGTTTATTGAGTTTGATTCATTTCAAATGACTGTGAATTTAAAGGTAAAGATTTAACAAAGAACCTCAATGTTTTAATTGAAAGAGTCCTTTGCTGACTGCCTGCCCTATTGCTGGCCATGGTGTCCCCCTTTCCAAGAGGTTGGTTTGACCATTCTGGGCCCCTGGGCAGACCAAAAAAGGGAGCCATTGTGAATGAAGACCGCTTTTCCCATTAGGCCCAGGCCGGGTGGTGAGGATGCCATGGGGTTAGGAGCAGATGTGGGTCAGCTCTCATAGGTGCCTAAAAAACCAACATGTTTTCTACCAGTTGATGTTGTTACATAGGTTAGCGATGTTTTTCTGATTAAAGCAGGACCAGAGTTTAGCCTGTGCAGTTAACTTTAACTTGATTTTAGACATTTAGGGACTTTTAGGATTGAATTGTTTAAAGTCTTTTCTCCTTTTTCTTTTCCCCTCTGTTTCTTTTTCCCACCTGCTTATTGATATGTTAGCGTGTAGCTTAGGCTGATTGCTGGCAGTGCGTTCCCTTCTCCTGCTCACTGCGCCCTGTGTGTGCTTGTTGCCTTGAAAGGTGGCTATGGGCGCTGGGGAGGCAGGGACAGGTACGGCCCACCTGTCCGCACCGATTACCGCCTCATAGTGGAGAATCTGTCCAGCCGCTGCAGCTGGCAGGACCTGAAGGTGGGAGCCCCGCCCCTGATCAGTCCCGTAGCCCCGCCCACACGGTGACATCACCACTTCCTGTCTCCTCCCAGGACTACATGAGGCAGGCGGGCGAGGTGACGTACGCCGACACCCACAAAGGCCGTAAGAACGAAGGCGTGATCGAGTTCCGGCAGTACTCGGACATGAAGCGGGCCCTGGAGAAGCTGGACGGAACCGAGGTCAACGGCAGGAAGATCCGACTAATTGAGGACCGTCCCGGCGCCCGCCGCCGCCGATCGTACTCCCGCAGCCGCTCCAGGTGAGGCGCGACGTCCGGCCCGGGTCGGGGGTCACGCACCCGGCTGGAAGGTCGCTGACGCTCCGCTCTGGTTCTGCAGGTCCCGGTCCAGAAGCCGCCGGTCCCACAAGAGCCGCAGCCGCAGCGACAGCAGCAGCCGGTCCCGGTCCCGCTCCAGGTGAGAACCGGGTCCAGAACCAGGAACAGGAATCTCTCTTGCTGTTCCTCTAAATGTTCCAGTTTGGCTCAGAATGGATTATTGATCCATTAAAGGATAACAAAATAAATTTGACTTCAGTAAGAAATGTTAAAGTAGAAAAGCTTTGAAACAATGAGATAGTTTTCATTATTGATTATAGAAAGCCAATCCCCTCAGGATGATCCATGACAATAAGAACATTTTTTCTCCATAAAATTATTATAAAATATTTTCTGCCCTAGATGAATCACAGCTTTTCAGGTATTTAGTAGATTGATTCTTGTTGTTCCTCATGTTAACATAACTGGAAACATAAAAACGATCATTTCATGTTTAATGAATCCTCTGTTTGTCTGGAGGATTCATTAATATCTAAACCAGGCCTGGAGTCTCCAACACACCCGAGTCACATAACCAGGTCATTAGCAGGACTCTGGAGAACCGGACCGGACCGGACCGGACTGCACTAATCGTCCCGGGCCCGCCGCCGGCCCTCTGATCTAAACTCATTATTAAACCTTAGGAGTACATATGGTACCTGGATAGAAACCATTATATATAATATTGCCTTATGTGGTATCATTTTTTCAGGTCAATCTGAACTTTATGAATTTAGACTTAGTTTTTACTTTTGGACATACTGTGGCACCATTTTGGACCTTGAGACACAGAAAAACAAAATCCGATTTGGAAATTTTTTTATTTTTTTTCACTGAAAATGTCAAATATTCACAAGAAATGGTTTTGATCATTTAGAATTATAATATATACTCTAAATTTCTCAAACTGATGTAAAAAAATTGCAAACAACACAGTTTTACAACATTATTAGCATGAAAATGAAGGCAATTCCTCATTTATTTGTATGCAATTTTTGAAACAATATCAAAACAAGATGACAAAAAATGTAAAATTCTTTGGGAAAGCAAGGTAAAACGGTATTTTAGAGCAGTGTTTTTCAAACACAGTACAACAGGCTGGATGTTACATGTTAAAATGGATCAGGCCCTAAAAGTCTTGTGAAAACGAGTTCCCAGCATTTTAATTCATCTTTTCTTTTCACTGTATATTATTTGGCAAATTGTAGCTGTAAAAAGGAAGAGTCCTGATTTTTTAAAATAATTTCATATTGTATCGTTTGTGCTTAATTGTAAGAAATGTTTAGTCCACATTTACATCTTAGGTTAGAGAACGTTTCATAGTTTGAAACTTTTTACGCAGATTTGATGTTTTTGTCTGATTTTGTGTCTAGAGGTGAAGAAATGACTAAATTCAAACACTTAAAGAAACACCAAGTGGAACAATGCAAAGTTTTTCCAATGTAAATCTTTCTGATGACGGGTTGAGCTGATTTACCCTAAACGCCTCGGTGTCTCTGCAGAGCCGCTTCCCGCAGCCGCAGCCGCAGCAAGAAGAACAGGAGCAAGAGCAAGAAGGACGAGGAAGAGCGCAACGGCGCCGCCAAGGACGACGAACGCAGCCGCAGTCGCAGTCGCAGCCGCAGCCGCAGCCGCAGCCCCAGGAGCAAAAAGAGCAAGAAGGACGGCAAGTCTGCCAAGAAGGACGAGTCCCGGTCCCGCTCCAGGTCCGCCTCCCGCTCCAGGTCCCGCTCCAGGTCCCGCTCTAGGTCCCGCTCCAGGTCCGGCTCCAAGGACCGGCCCAGGAAGTCCGGCTCCCAGGATGGCGAGCCGCCGAAGAGCGACACGGAGGCGGCGGACGCCGAGCGGCCGTCCCGCTCCCCGGAGGAGCCCAGAGCCGGGTCCAAGTCCAAGTCCCGGTCCGCTTCTCCGGCCAAAGCCGGCTCCAGGTCCCGCTCTGCCTCCCGCTCCGAGTCCCGCTCCAAGTCCCGTTCCCGCTCCCGCTCCTAGTCTCGGACTCCTGGTGACCTCCGACCCCTGGCTCGTATTTACATTCCCTCTGACCTCCTACCCCCAACCCCGCAGCGTCCGGTTTTTGATAAGTCGAGCAGCAGGCACTCGGACCGACCCGTCAGCTCCGCCTCGTTTCCCTCTGATCCGCGTATTTTCCACTAGATGTTTGTAAGATTCCAGGATGGATCCGAGTTCTTTGATGCTCCGCGTCTCTGTGTTTTTTTAATCCAGTAGAAGCAAATCGCCGGGAATCAGATTCCCAAACCTTTGTTTCACATTAAAACGTCTGTTCTGAGCCGCTGCCCTCTGACTCTTTGTTCCAGTGACAGGAAGTCTCCCTTTCAGAGTAAGAGTCTGTAAACAATCTCTCTCTAGCAGGAAACTCAACATTTATTGTGAAGTAAAAACAGGAAACTTTAGTCAGAATAACCAAATATTTTACACAGTAAATGATTCTATTTGATATTAATGTTCTGGTGGCTGAAAAAGTTCAGGTTATTTGGCTTTCAGGTGAAATTTAAGAAAAACATCAGACGTTTCCACTACAGTGATGATTTGTGATGAGTCGGCAGTAATGTCTGTAATCTGAACATGTTGGTAATCTGAAGAACGATGCTGAATGATTCATCAGACATACAGTCATATGAAAACGTTTGGGCAGCCCTATTAATCTTTATTTTTATTTCTAAATATTTGGGTGTTTGCAACAGCGATCTCAGTTTGATATATCTAATAACTGATGTACACAGAGATATTTCAGTATTGAAATGAGGTTTATTGTACTAACAAAAAATGGGTAATATGCATTAAAACAACATTTGACAGATGCAAAAATTTGGGTACCCTTATCATTTTATTGATTAGAATTCTAACTACTTTTCACTGACTTACTGAAACAAAATATTGGTTTGGCAGCCTCATTAAGCTTTGAACTTCATAGCCAGGTGTATCCAATCATGAGAAAAGGTATTTAAGGTGGCCGATTGCAAGTTGCTCTCCAGTCTGGATCTCCTATGAAGAGTGGCATCATGGGCACATCAAAACAACTCTCATGATCTGAAAACAAAGATTGTTCAACACAGTTATTTAGGGGAAGGACACAAAAAGTTATCTCAGAGATTTAATCTGTCAGTTTCCACTGTGAGGAACATAGTAAGGAAATGGAAGACCACAGGGACAGTACATGTTAAACCCAGAAGTGGCAGGCCAAGAAAAATATCAGAGAAGAAGAATGGTGAGAACGGTCAAGGACCACCTCCAAAGACCTGCAGCATCATCTTGCTGCAGATGGTGTCACTGTGCATCGTTCAACAATTCAGCGCACTTTGCACAAGGAGAAGCTGTATGGGAGAGTGATGCGATGGAAGCCTTTTCTGCAAGCACGCCACAAACGGAGTCGCTTGAGGTCTGCAAAAGCACATTTGGACAAGCCAGCTTCATTTTGGAATAAGGTCCTGTGGACTGATGAAACAAAGATTGAGTTGTTTGGTCATAAAAAAAGGCGTTCCAAGAAAAACACTTGCTACCCACTGTGAGATTTGGTAGTGGTTCCATCATGCTTTGGGGCTGTGTGGCCAATGCCGGTACTGGAAATATTGTTAAAGTTGAGGGTCGCATGGATTCCACTCAATATCAGCAGATTCTTGACACTAATGTTCAAGAATCAGTTACGAAGTTGAAGCTATGGATATTTCAGCAAGACAATGATCCAACACACCACTCCAAATCTACTCAGGCATTCATGCAGAGGAACGATTACAATGTTCTGGAATGGCCATCCCAATCCCCAGACCTGAATATTATTGAACATCTGTGGGATGATTTGAAGCGGGCTGTCCATGCTCGGCGACCATCAAACTGAACTGAACTGGAATTGTTTTGCAAAGAGGAATGGTCAAAAATCCCTTCATCCAGGATCCAGGAACTCATTAAAGCTACAGGAAGCGACTAGAACAGGGGTGTCAACATCCAGTCCTCGAGGGCCGGTGTCCTGCAACTTTTAGCTGTTTCTCTGCTGCACCTGAATAGAATAATAGATTAGCAGGGCTCTGGAGAACTGATGTCCACAAGGAGGAGGTAATTGAGCCATTCCTGTGTTTTGTAGTGTGGCACATCTAAAACCTGCAGGACAGCTTGAGGACTGGAGTTTGACACCCCTGGACTAGAGGCTGTTATTGTTGCAAAAGGAGGATCTACTAAATATTAATGTCACTTTTCTGTTGAGGTGCTCATATTTTTGCACCTGTCAAATTTTGTGTTTATGTGTACTGCACATTTTCTTTCAGTCCAATAAACCTCATTTCAATATTGAAATGTTACTGTGTCCATAAGTTACTGGTTATGTCAAACTGAAATAGTTATTGCAAACATCCAAATATTTAGAGATTAATATGGGTGCCCAAACTTTTTCATATCACTGTATAGTTTTATCAGAGCTTCACATTCCCAGTAATCCTGGGAATTTCTGATTTTCCAGGTTTATTCCTGGATGTTTCGGTTCTGTTGCTATTCTGTTACCATGCTAACATTTATGAATCAAAAGCCAGTTTCCTTAAACTCAGGTTCAACTTGGCCTGCTGCTGGTTTAGCTAACCTGGAGCTGAGCAGTAAGGTGATCCAGGTGTTTGTGGGAGTGTTCAGGTAAAACAGCTGGGACCAATCAGAATGAAGCAGGAAACTGACCAATCAGAAAAATCCAGAGTGGATCCTGGAAAACTGATCCCAGATTTATTCAATAACTACACCTTTATGCTGATCCATCCAGCCTCTGATTGGACGGTTTGAACCGTCTGTCCAATCAGAGTGAAGGCGGACCAACAGCCGTTGTCTGCTTTCAATCTAAGTTTAATCTGTAAATTTAATCTTCATCCAGTTCCTCCCTGAACTTCATGCTGAATCTTTCCAGCACATTATTTCATTCAAACTTGAGTTCAAAGTTTTCATGTTTGGTTTATTGTCTGTGGACCAGCAGACGACCCGGTCCGGTCCGGTCCGGTCCGATCTGACGATTGTTGCTTGGTGGAGACGGGTCCGTCTCCCTGGTTCTGTAGGAGATGCAGGAAGCCGACCCATCTGGACCGGTTCTGATCCAAGCTGCAACCTTCACCAATCGGAGCGCGCTCCTCAGTCGTCGTCGTCGTCCTCTGAGGACGAGCGCGCGGTGCCGCCGCTGTCGTCATGGTAACAGCGGCCCAGGAGGCGCAGCTCCTCCAGCGCCTCCTGGTAGTCGGCCATCTCGGGCCCCTGGGACAGGAAGCTGGGGGCCCGGCGGCGCACGTCGAAGGTGGCGGCGGCGCGCTGCAGGTCAGACAGAAACGGGCGCAAAGCGGTCCCGGACTGCAGCGACGTCAGGATGGGGACGGACGAGACCGGCGGCGCTGCAGAGGACAGACGGTTCAGACAGAGATGCCGTCCACACCGACAAAGACCGCAAAACTCACCGCCTGCCGGGGGCGCCCCGCAGCGAATGAAGCCCTGGGCGTCCAGCGCTGGGCTGAAGATCTGAGGGAAGGGCGGAGTCAGTTTACAGGGGGCGGAGACCAGCTGCAGCACCCTGCGGAGGTAGACAGATGAAGACTACAGCTAGTTACAGCAGAACACCAGCAGGGGGCAGCTGGAGACTCACAGAGGAGCTGAGGGGTAGAAGGAGGAGAGGTAGGCGGCCAAGACGTCCTCCCCGCTGCGGAGGCCGTGCAGAGGAGTCGGTGGTTCAATTCCTGGAGAGAGGCGGCTGGAGGAGAAACAATGGCCAAATCAGCGACACAGGAGACCAGAGTTAATCTGGGTTAATCTGGGTTAGTTAGCATTAACAATACAGCTGATCAAAGGCTGGAAGCTTTTCTGGATGAAGCTGACAGAAAAACTGAAATAAAAGTATCTAATAAATTTGACAAACTTCATAACTTTGTAAAATCTGAGATTCTGAAAGTAAAGTTGACGGTGGCAGAGGAGACATACGGATGATTATCTCATGAGACAATCATCCATCCATGTTGGATGGATTATCTCATGTTGGATGATTATCTCATGTTGGATGATTATCTCATGTTGGATGATTGTCTCATGTTGGATGATTATCTCATGTTGGATGATTATCTCATGTTGGATGATTATCTCATGTTGGATGATTTTCTCAGGTTGGATGATTATCTCAGGTTGGATGCTTGTCTCATGTTGGATGATTGTCTCATGTTGGATGATTATCTCATGTTGGATGATTTTCTCATGTTGGACGATTATCTCATGTTGGACGATTGTCTCATTTTGGACGATTGTCTCATGTTGGATGATTGTCTCATTTTGGATGATTGTCTCATGTTGGATGATTATCTCGTGTTGGATGATTTTCTCAGGTTAGATGATTATCTCATGTTGGATGATTATCTCATGTTGGATGATTTTCTCAGGTTGGATGATTTTCTCAGGTTGGATGATTTTCTCATGTTGGATGATTGTCTCATGTTGGATGATTGTCTCATGTTGGATGATTGTCTCATGTTGGACGATTGTCTCATGTTGGACGATTATCTCATGTTGGACGATTGTCTCATTTTGGACGATTGTCTCATGTTGGACGATTGTCTCATTTTGGATGATTGTCTCATGTTGGATGATTTTCTCAGGTTGGATGATTATCTCAGGTTAGATGATTGTCTCATGTTGGATGATTGTCTCATGTTGGATGATTATCTCATGTTGGATGATTTTCTCAGGTTGGATGATTTTCTCAGGTTGGATGATTGTCTCATGTTGGATGATTGTCTCATGTTGGACGATTATCTCATGTTGGACGATTATCTCATGTTGGACGATTGTCTCATTTTGGACGATTGTCTCATGTTGGATGATTGTCTCATTTTGGATGATTGTCTCATGTTGGATGATTATCTCATGTTGGATGATTTTCTCAGGTTAGATGATTATCTCATGTTGGACGATTATCTCATGTTGGACGATTATCTCAGGTTGGATGATTATCTCATGTTGGATGATTATCTCATGTTGGATGATTATCTCAGGTTGGATGATTATCTCATGTTGGATGATTTTCTCATGTTGGATGATTATCTCATGTTGGATGATTGTCTCATGTTGGATGATTGTCTCATGTTGGATGATTGTCTCATGTTGGATGATTGTCTCATGTTGGATGATTGTCTCATGTTGGATGATTATCTCATTTCGGATGATCATCTCATTTTGGATGATCATCTCATGTTGGATGATTGTCTCATGTTGGATGATTATCTCATGTTGGATGATTATCTCATGTTGGATGATTTTCTCAGGTTGGATGATTTTCTCAGGTTGGATGATTTTCTCATGTTGGATGATTATCTCATGTTGGATGATTATCTCAGGTTGGATGATTATCTCAGGTTGGATGATTATCTCATGTTGGATGATTGTCTCATGTTGGATGATTGTCTCATGTTGGATGATTATCTAAGGTTGGATGATTGTCTCATGTTGGATGATTGTCTCATGTTGGATGATTGTCTCATGTTGGATGATTGTCTCATGTTGGATGATTATCTCATGTTGGATGATTTTCTCAGGTTTGATGATTATCTCATGTTGGATGATTATCTCATGTTGGATGATTATCTCAGGTTGGATGATTATCTCAGGTTGGATGATTATCTCATGTTGGATGATTGTCTCATGTTGGATGATTATCTCATGTTGGATGATTATCTCAGGTTGGATGATTATCTCATGTTGGATGATTATCTCATGTTGGATGATTATCTCATGTTGGATGATTGTCTCATGTTGGATGATTGTCTCATGTTGGATGATTGTCTCATGTTGGATGATTATCTCATGTTGGATGATTATCTCAGGTTGGATGATTATCTCAGGTTGGATGATTGTCTCATGTTGGATGATTGTCTCATGTTGGATGATTGTCTCATGTTGGACGATTATCTCAGGTTGGACGATTATCTCATGTTGGACGATTGTCTCATTTTGGACGATTGTCTCATGTTGGACGATTGTCTCATTTTGGATGATTGTCTCATGTTGGATGATTATCTCATGTTGGATGATTTTCTCAGGTTAGATTATTATCTCATGTTGGATGATTATCTCATGTTGGATGATTATCTCAGGTTGGATGATTATCTCATGTTGGATGATTGTCTCATGTTGGATGATTGTCTCATGTTGGATGATTATCTCATGTTGGATGATTATCTCATGTTGGATGATTATCTCATGTTGGATGATTATCTCATTTCGGATGATCATCTCATTTTGGATGATTATCTCATGTTGGATGATTGTCTCATGTTGGATGATTATCTCATGTTGGATGATTATCTCATGTTGGATGATTATCTCATGTTGGATGATTTTCTCAGGTTAGATGATTATCTCATGTTGGATGATTATCTCATGTTGGATGATTATCTCAGGTTGGATGATTGTCTCATGTTGGATGATTATCTCATGTTGGATGATTATCTCAGGTTGGATGATTATCTCATGTTGGATGATTATCTCATGTTGGATGATTATCTCATGTTGGATGATTATCTCATGTTGGATGATTGTCTCATGTTGGATGATTGTCTCATGTTGGATGATTGTCTCAGGTTGGATGATTATCTCATGTTGGATGATTGTCTCAGGTTGGATGATTATCTCATGTTGGATGATTGTCTCATGTTGGATGATTGTCTCATGTTGGATGATTGTCTCATGTTGGATGATTATCTCATGTTGGATGATTATCTCATGTTGGATGATTGTCTCATGTTGGATGATTGTCTCATGTTGGATGATTGTCTCATGTTGGATGATTGTCTCATGTTGGATGATTATCTCATGTTGGATGATTGTCTCATGATGGATGATTTTCTCAGGTTAGATGATTATCTCATGTTGGATGATTATCTCATGTTGGATGATTGTCTCATGTTGGATGATTGTCTCATGTTGGATGATTGTCTCATGTTGGATGATTGTCTCATGTTGGATGATTATCTCATGTTGGATGATTGTCTCAGGTTGGATGATTATCTCATGTTGGATGATTGTCTCATGTTGGATGATTGTCTCATGTTGGATGATTGTCTCATGTTGGATGATTATCTCATGTTGGATGATTATCTCATGTTGGATGATTGTCTCATGTTGGATGATTGTCTCATGTTGGATGATTATCTCATGTTGGATGATTATCTCATGTTGGATGATTGTCTCATGTTGGATGATTATCTCATGTTGGACGTCAGGTGACCATCACATGACGGGTGTTTGGCTACTATCTGTCAACAGCTACATGACAATATAAAAGGTTTAATTCAAAAATTGCAAACCTTCACATGAAGCTGCGTTACCAACTGACGGCTCACCAGCAGAGCCGGTGTTCTCCTTCGCTAATGTTCACATAATCATTAATCAATCATCACAAATATAAATAAAACTGACTGTTCTGATCAGTGTAAAAAACCGTTTTGGTGTTGAATCCCTGAACACAGCCTCTGTGTGAGGAGCTGTTGTCAGTCGGTTGTCATGCCAACAAGTGTTTGGGGCGTGTCTGGCACAGAAATTGGACGAAGTCTTTAGTTTTCTGCGTCGTTATTTATGTTTACAAACGTCATTTCTCTGAGGATGACCTCTGACCTGATGAGCTTTTGGCCCTGGAAGCCTCTGAGCGTGCTCCACTGTCCGTAGCATCGACCCGCGGCCGCCTCGGGGCAAGCCGACAGAGGTTTCCATGGCAACGCGTCAGCACAGGCCCTCAGGGCGTCAGGCAGGGAGCCGCCGGGCATCATGGGAAACGGGACAGCGCCGTAAGCGGCCACGACCTGAGAGGAGCAGCACCCGGTCACCGACACGCCGGAGGCTTCATCAGCCAGAAGGAGGATGAGGAGGAGCATACCTTCCTCCCCGACACGGCCAGCGAGTCCGCCACCTGCCACATGGGGGCGCTGTTGTTCCTGAGCCGGTAGGGCACGGTGAGGGCGTCCAGGGCCAGAGCCAGGACGGCGCTGGAGTGGTACCAGAGGGCGGGCTGCAGCAGGACACAAGGTTGGTTTGTTCATGTGCAGAAACAAAAACATTTTTTCACTTTGAACAGGGGAAAATATCCAATAAGTGAAATAATCTGCCAGAGGAACTATCAATAAGCGCCTATATCTGGCTCAAAAACTGACTTTAAGTTTGTTGTTTGTCATTTTGAGTGTCAAGATATTTAAAGTTCTCCAAAAATACTTGGTACAATTTTGTGTTTGTGCATATATCTATATACGGTCCCTCCAACGCACCAATTCATGACAAATGCTGCAATACTTCATGTGGAGCATGCATGTGGTGACAGTGTAGAGGAAAACCTCCTTTCATTTTGTTTTTCATCTGACTCGTTTCTGTTTGAACCAGAACTCCATCATCTGCTCCACCTGCAGCTGCTGTGGTTCTGACCCAAACCAGCCTGTTCCCCTCCTGGCCTGTGGGGGCGCTGCACCAACAACCACTGCAGGAAACGACACTAAAACCTCTGAAGATGCTGAGAGCAACTTCCTGTTTCACCAGATGAAACAAGATGGAGGCATCAGAGTTTAGTGATTTCTCTTTAGTCTTTGGCTGAAGACCAGAAGCCATTTCTGCTGCTAGCACTAGGCTAGCATGTTAGCTATGGTTGGATTTACCCAGAATGCCCTTGGCTGTAGTCCACTTCCTGCCTTTGGAGTGCTCTCTGGTCCGCTTGGCGTTCAGATATGAAACTGAACTAGAGTTCACTTTGCAGGACCAGAGGTCAGATGTCAATTAGCATTCACACCTCAGCGACCAAAGCAGACTTTGACTAGGCAAACAGACTGGGGTCAGGTTTAAGCGGCTAAATCTGAGTCAAATGGAAAGAACCAGATCGGTTCTCACTGGATCACCTGGAACTGATGTGAAGAGGGTAAATGAAGGGGGCCCAGGGCGGAGCCCTGAGGGCCGCCAGCGCCTGGCCCAGGTTACTCACATCGTAGGACAGCAGGGGGAAAAGAGGCGGGGGCGGCGGCCGCCTGCCCAGCGCCCCCCGCAGCGTGAGCGGGCAGAACAGCGAGCTGTGGGCGGCCATGTTGACGGTGCCCAGCGCGGCGTTCAGCAGGTGGTACCGGTCCTTGGCGGGAGTCTGGGTCAGAGCAGAACCCGGTTAACACCCAGACCTTCTGATGGGCTCAGATCGACCAATCAGAGCCACTCACCGAGTCCCGGTGGACAACTGGAGCCACGCCCCATGTCAGGATACCCCGCCCACCGTAGGAGTCCTGCAGCAGCTCTGTGACCTTTGACCCCAGGCCTGCAAACCCATCCTCCAGGTCACACAGGACCTGAAAACCCTGAGACACGAGGACAGTGAGGAAGACGAGGAGGAGGAAGAGGGCGAAGAAGAGGAAGAGGAGAAACCTGCAGGTAATCGCATTCCTCCACGAAGAAGTGCAGCCTGTCCTCCAGCTCGTCCAGCAGCGCCCCCTGCAGGGCAGACTCGCCCTGGCCGAAGGTCTCCAGGCGATGAGCCTCGCTGGAAAAACAAGCATCCGATTCATTTCCATCAGCGGACAATAACAATTACTCAATCAGTGTTCCCAGTGGTGACCCGGTTTACCCGTCATGGTTGAACTGGTGGAGGACGGCAACGGAGCGGGGATGCAGGTGGAGCCGCAGGAAGTCGGACCAGACCGTCACACTGCCCTCCAGACGATAGTTCTTCTGGAGCCGGGTCAGCTGGCTGTTGAACGAGTCCACGGCCAGCGGACCTGTAGGGGGCGGGGCCAGAGGGGCGGGGCATCAGAGGGGCGGGGCATCAGAGGGAACCAGGGGGTTTGTCTGATCTTACCGGACCGCTGCAGCTGCGATGTGGAGCAGAACTCTGCCTCAGCCAGGATCTGTCCCTTCTGGAGACAAACACAGGATCACAACTAGAATCAGACCCGGCTCTGGTTCTGATGCAGGTTCTGGTTCTCCAGCACTTACATCCAGCCTCTCCAGATCCTCAAGGAAGCAGTTCTTCTCCAGCTGGCTGTGCTTGTGCACGGTGACGCTCCCCGCCCTGACAACGACACGGAAAGCGTCAACACAGGAGCCACCGGGGGGCGCTGTGGCCACCGGGGGGCGCTGTGGCCACCGGGGGGGCGCTGTGGCCACCGGGGGGCGCTGTGCTTTTTACCAGGTGACAGCTGCTCCTGTGGCTCCTGCGGGGTCGTACAGACTTCCTTCCTGCCGCAGCGTCCGGAGACTTCCTGTGGAGACAGACAGACAGACGGGTCGGGCCGGGCCGGGCTCTTGGTTCTGGCTGAGCAACACCGGAGCGCGGCGAACCTTTAAGATCCATGGCGATGAGTCGGGGCGTGTAGGTGACGCTGCCGCCTGGAGTTTGTCCTTCCCGGAACACGGAGTCGCTCTGGACCTCTGGCGGCGCCGACCCCGGGTCGTAGCACAGAGACGCATCCTGTCAACGAGACGCAGCAACACGCAGGAATATCATAAAGAATTACAGCGTCTGTAAAAAGTATTCAGACCTTGGATGGTGTTAAAAAGCCCTTAAACATCAAAATGAAAACTAATTCAGCTAAATAATTATAAATACAAAAATGTAGCAGAAACTAAGCAACAGCTTCCAGTCGGTCTAGCGTTGGCGCCTCTGGCTGCCGACCAGCAGGGAGTCCGTCCCATCAGGCAGCTTTCCTCCATTCTTCCTGATAAACTGACCCAGCTCTGGTCCAGGCCGGGCTTTGACTAGGCCACAGCCCTTCCATGTCTTGATGACAGACCAGCAGCAGGAGGAAAATAACCAACATCCAAGACAGAGCAGCTGTGATGAAAAGCATGGTGGTGGCAGTGTTATGGTCTGGGCCTGAGCAGCTGATGGACATGAGGCTCCCTCACCACAGGCAGTCCTCCCACGCAGGGCTCGTGTTTTAACCACAGAAAATAAACTCTTACCAACACAACTAAAGTTTTCAGAAGGCTACATCAACAATTACTTCTTCTACTTCTTCTTCTTCTTCTTCTTCATCTTCTTCTTCTTCTTCTTGTTCTTCTGAGCAGCTCAGAGGAACCCACGGAGTTCCACGCTAACAGAGCGGCTAGCCCCGTTAGCCACTCCGTGTTTCCTCACCTGTAAATTCCACCAGTGGGTTCCCACGAAGTTGGAATAATGTCCGAGTTGCAGCGTGATGACTTCCCTGCAGACTCCGGTCATCGTGACGGGATCAACACGCAGGACGGAACCACGGAAACCGCAGAACTCCACGCATGATGAGCACGCTGCTGAACTGACAACACCGAACGCAGCGGCCGCTTCCTATTGGCTGGAAGGCGGAGCGAGGTGAACGGTGATTGGAGGAGCCGAAGCCTCGTAGTTTGGTTTCACTTCACATGAAACTAAAACGATTATTCACACAACAGAAACAATAACGAGACAAAACATCAAGAAATAAATATCAAAAATAAAACAAAATGTATGAATAAACAGTTTTAACAAAATAGCTATAAATAGAACAATATTAAATAAAATGTGTGGAATATTTTAAATGAAGCACGAGATAAAAAAAACAGCATTGAAACACATCAAAGAACCAAAATAGATTTAATTACCAAAATAAACCAATGAAACAACAACTATAAAAAATAATTTAAGTAATAAAAAATACATAGATAAACCAAATAAAAATATAAATTGAACATAATAAACAACTAACAAATTACTTAAAGAATGAAACAATAAACTAAAAAGAAGTTGAAAATAAAAAATCCAAGTTCCAATTTAATTTTGACATAAGATCAGTATGTATGGAAGTAAATACTATGGAGGCATAAATATTCAGAGGCATTTTTATTCAAATGCCTCTGAATAAAAAATTCAGAGGCATTTTTTATTCAAATCCTGAATTTGAGACAGCGAATTTTTAGACGCTGAATTTTTTACAGCGAATTTTTAGACGCTGAATTTTTTACAGTGAATTTTTAGACCTTGAATTTTTTACAGCGAATTTTTAGACGTTGAATTTTTTTTTACAGCGAATTTTTAGACGTTGAACTTTTAACAGCGAAATTTTTATCACTGAATTTTTTTACGTTGAAAATTCAGAGGCATTTTTATTCAAATCCTGATGGCAGATATTTACTTCCATATTAGACCATCAGAACTGTAATTGTAATTTAATAATTGACTCATGTAACAAAAAGGGTTTCTTCCGGCCTCCGGCTGGGTCACACACTGCTGTGGGACGGCATCACTTTCCTCTACAAGCCTTTGTCATCAGTCAGTGATTGATTGTGATGACTCTCCCATCCTAACCTGCTGACCCCTGGTGCTGGAAGTGAGCCTGAGTTCCCTGCAGCTCCTCCAGAGGTCGCTCTGGTTGCATCCATTCATGATGATCCCTGTTTCTCCATGTATGGAACCGTTGCTTATGTAACATAGTTACTGTTGTATAGAGTTCCACTTGTCATTACTTCCAAGTTGGGTTCAGGTCTAATGGGTGAAACAGCGCCCCCTCCTGGTGGTTGGCAGCGTTAAATATAGTGAACAGACATCTGGTTGCCAGTTCATGAGAGATGATGTAGGTTCACTGAGAACATTTTCACGGTCCTGTAACATGTTCTGTTAGTTTGTTGCTAACATAAAATACTATTCTCGTAAGGTGCTTCACTGCCTGTGATGAACCTGGTTCCTGATTATTCTATATTCTGTTTCATGCAGATAAACCACATTTTGTCTAATCCTGTGTCCTGGTTCTGTATTCACACAACACAGAGCTGATGATAAGCCGTTATAATTAAAAAGGTTACACTTACCTACTGCCTGCGTCTGCTTGGCTTTTTGCAGGGAGGATTTGGCTCTTTTTTATGGGTAAGCGCCACCCACAAAGTCAACTTTTCTTCTCAAGTTGTCAGAGCTAAACAAACAGCCAGTTTTATTAGGTTTATTATGACAGCTTATCTGTTCTTACATATATTCTGTTTTTTTTTTTTTTTGTTTAGTTAGATATTTTAAATTTGTTCCTAACATCTCTAAAGCACATTTTGTGGTATGAAACAGGCTTTACCAACCTTTAGTCCATTACAACTATTTCTTTCTTGGTAAAGGATCTGCTGAGGTTGCAAAAATGACCTTTCAACTCAATTCTGACGTTGACCTGAAAATACTAAAGGAATTATACACTGCTACTGTAAGAAAGTACTTTTAGATGCACCAGCTAATTAGAAAGAAATAAGAAGTTTTTATCAACCATTAGTCTGCACTGTTGCCTGTTGATAAATGCTTCAATAAAATGATAAAGCAGAATCACTATTATATCCATTAATATTTATCTTTTCATTTTTACTCATATTTCTCAAACCATTAAACATTACAAGCAACAAGTCAATGTTAGGAAATCCTTGTATTTGTTGAATAAAAACATCAAAAGTTCTGCAAGTGCTCGGAGTTTGAAAAGGAAATGCGTCTGTGCCTGTGACTGATGAACACATTGCATTTTCTAAGATGTAATAATGTGATAACGAAATGTGACAAGCTGCAGGAGAAACGCCTGGGCTCCACGGTGTTCTGATTAAGAAAATAAAAGTCTGACCAAAATGTCCAAGAACTCGATTGTTCTGAGTTACAAACACAATGAAGGCTTTAACATTCAATATCAATGTAAAAACAATTCAAAATTGTGATTGTAGTACATCTAGCATGCAGTGTTTGAGTTTATTTTGCATATATATACTCTGCTTGATGCACGACTGTGACACAAAACAGTTATTACAGACATTTGTTAAAATTGGCTTGTCTTAGAAGGCATGCATAAATTATTTTTAAATTCATTTTTAAATTAAAACGGGCTAAACTGTCACATTATAGAAAGACCATTAATAAAACTATGAATCAAACAGCAGCTGCTGCCGCTGCTCCTCCCAGCCGCCAGGGGGCGGCCGAGCGTCGCTGTCAGCTCTGTGCTGAAACTCAGAGCAGAAGCAGAGCAGCAGGTTGGTGAAAGCTCCGGTAGTTTGATACCAGCTCGCTGCCACCGGAACCCCGGAGTCCCGCCTTAGGCCGGTCCGTCCCGGTTTGTCCCGGTTTGTCTCGGTGTCCCAGTTTGTCCCAGTCTCTCCCAGTGTGTCCCAGTCTGTCCCGGTTTGTCCCGCTGCCGGCCGGAATGCCTCTGCATCTCCTGCTGTTCCTGGACTGACGTCCCTCCATCATGGCTGAGATCAGATGCAGAAAGTCTGCGGCTCTGGAGGGAGAAGCTGCAGAGAGCAGGAGTGAGTTACAGACGTCCAGAATCTCCTTCCTGCTTCCAGTTTCCTGTTCTGACTCTCTGTCACCTGAGCAGGTGAGCCTGCAGAGGAAGAGGAGTCCAGAGGTGATGACGGTGGTGAGGAGGAGACAGTCCAGCAGGCATCCAATCAGAAATCTGCTGCAGGTGAAGAAACCAGTTCAGTGTCTCTAATTGGGTCGGTGATGAAACATGAACTTTAATGCGACTCTGATACGAGAAGCTGTGGCAGCAACGATGTTTCTGATCCAGGCTTTTCCATTCTGCAGCTTCCCGATCAGTTCTGGTTCTGGTTCAGTCCAGAACTGTTTGTTTCTGATTTCCTGTTATTTTCTATTTTTTAAAGGTTTTCTTTTCTTATGGTTTTGTGCTGCGAGCCTCAGCTGATGGTTGATCTGTGTTGTTCCTCAGCCGGCTGGCTGCAGTCTGTGCTCAGGATGTTCTTCGGGGCGATGGCAGCAGTGGCCTGCGGGATGCTGTACGCCGGGTACCTGTCTGGGTTCCACGACAGGAAGTTCTGGTTTTCCAGCAGGCAGGTGGGTGGCGCCGGCTCCGTGTGCTGCGTGTGCGGCGCCGGCTCCGTGTGCTGCGTGTGCGGCGCCGGCTCCGTGTGCTGCGTGTGCGGCGCCGGCTCCGTGTGCTGCGTGTGCGGCGCCGGCTCCGTGTGCTGCGTGTGCGGCGCCCGCTCCGTGTGCTGCGTGTGCGGCGCCCGCTCCGTGTGCTGCGTGTGCGGCGCCGGCTCCGTGTGCTGCGTGTGCGGCGCCGGCTCCGTGTGCCGCGTGTGCGGCGCCCGCTCCGTGTGCCGCGTGTGCGGCGCCCGCTCCGTGTGCTCCGCCCGCTCCGTGTGCTGCGTGTGCGGCGCCCGCTCCGTGTGCTGCGTGTGCGGCGCCCGCTCCGTGTGCTGCGTGTGCGGCGCCCGCTCCGTGTGCTGCGTGTGCGGCGCCCGCTCCGTGTGCTGCGTGTGCGGCGCCGGCTGATGCTGTTCTGTGGCTGCAGGAGCTGGAGCGGGAAGCGTCGTTCCCGGGCGGCAGCGGCCTCTACTACCATTACTACAAGCGCCTGCTGGCGGCGCCGTCCTTCAGCTCAGGTACCGCCGCCGCCTCGCCTCGCCTGAGGCCGGCCGGCGCCGCCACCGTGACCCGCTGTGATTGGTTCTTTCAGAGTTCTACGAACTGACGGCGGACAACGCCACTGTGTCGGGGCGCACCATCAACGCCGTGGAGAGGCTGTTCCTCTACCCAGAACTCATCACCAGCTTCCTCTACCGGGTCACGGGCAGCCAGGTGAGGAAACCACCTGATTCACTGGTACAGAGAAACGGGTCGGTACCAGCTGCAACCTGAAGGAAGAACCACAGAAACCCAGAAAGCACATTGGGAGGCCTGTGATTGGCTCCCTGGAGCCAGTTCGTGGCCTGTGATTGGCCGAGATATTGATGTACTAACACTTCAGAGCATTTCTTTAAAATCTAAATCAGTAATAAAACCATTAAAATGTGAGCCAAGGATAAAATGTTTGACAACAAACAGCAAAAAATGTGAAATGGTTAAACGAGAGGTTAAAGGTCAGCTTTCCTTCATCTGGAGCTGTTTGGACCGGTCTGACCCGTCCTGACCCAGAACCCGTCGTTGTGTCCCTCCAGAACCGGGTGGAGCCCGTCTCCTTCTACCTGGGCTCCGTGTTCGTCCTGCAGGCCGTCTGCGTCTCGGCGCTGTTCGTGTGCAGCTGGGCCCTGAGCGGTACCTGCGTGGCCGGCATGCTGGCCGTGTCCTGGTTCGTAATCAACAGGTGAGCGGGCCGGGCGCCGACCGGTCCGGACCGGATCGGACCCGGTAAAATGTCCGCCCCGTGTGGTTCTGCAGGCAGGATGCCAGCAGAGTGGACCAGGGCGTTCCTCTGAGAGAGAACTGGGCCCTGCCGTTCTTCTCCTGCCAGGTGGCGGCGCTGACCGGCTTCCTGAGCCGCAGCACCGGTTCTGCTTCCGAGGTGGGTTCTGGTTCTGACCCGACCCCTGTGGATCGGAACCCCAGGGTGGTTCTGACCCGTGTTTCCTTGCAGATGTTCTGCTACCTGATGCTGAGCGCCTGCAGCTTCAGCTTCCTGCTGCTGTGGGAACTTGGACACTACTTCCTGTTTGTCCAGGGCTTCTGCCTGGTTCTGCTGGACTCACTGGACCTGGTACCGGCACGCAAGGTAAGGACCGGACCGGGTCTTTGCCTGGTTCCGGTCACCAAGTAGTATGGAATGACTCTGCGGTTCTGGGTCGACCCGGCCCATTTTCCCCTAGACGGCCGACGTCTGCAGGGCGTACCTGGGCTCGCTGGTTCTGGTCTACCTGGCCCAGTTCCAGAACGCCTCCCTGCTCGGCTCTCCGCTGCTCGGCCTCCTGATTGGCTCGGTGCCAGCCAGGTACTTCCAGGTAGAGTTAGCCCCGCCCCCCACGGCTCACTTGATTGGCTGCTTTGATGTGGATGGAGTGTTTGTGCTGCAGAGGAAGATGAAGATGGGTTGTCTGGGCGCCAGAGTGATGAAGCTCCTGCTGCACATCCACCTGGTGATCGGCTGCGTGTTCACCTGCAGCTTTCTGGTGAAAGTGAGCTCAGTGCAGCGCCCCCTACTGCCCCCTACTATTCCCTGCTGCCCCCTACTGCTCCCTGCTGCTCCCTACTGCCCCCTACTGCCCCCTACTGCTCCCTACTGCCCCCTACTGCTCCCTACTGCCCCCTACTGCCCCCTACTGCTCCCTACTGCCCCCTACTGCTCCCTACTGCTCCCTACTGCCCCCTACTGCTCCCTACTGCCCCCTACTGCTCCCTACTGCTCCCTACTGCCCCCTACTGCTCCCTACTGCTCCCTACTGCCCCCTACTGCTCCCTACTGCCCCCTGCTGCTCCCTACTGCCCCCTGCTGCTCCCTGCTGCTCCCTACTGCCCCCTGCTGCTCCCTACTGCCCCCTGCTGCTCCCTGCTGCTCCCTACTGCCCCCTGCTGCTCCCTACTGCCCCCTGCTGCTCCCTGCTGCTCCCTACTGCTCCCTACTGCCCCCTACTGCTCCCTGCTGCTCCCTACTGCTCCCTACTGCCCCCTACTGCTCCCTACTGCCCCCTACTGCTCCCTACTGCTCCCTACTGCCCCCTACTGCTCCCTACTGCTCCCTACTGCCCCCTACTGCTCCCTGCTGCTCCCTACTGCCCCCTGCTGCCCCCTGCTGCCCCCTACTGCTCCCTGCTGCTCCCTACTGCCCCCTGCTGCCCCCTACTGCTCCCTACTGCCCCCTACTGCTCCCTACTGCTCCCTACTGCCCCCTACTGCTCCCTGCTGCTCCCTACTGCCCCCTACTGCTCCCTACTGCTCCCTACTGCCCCCTACTGCTCCCTGCTGCTCCCTACTGCCCCCTGCTGCCCCCTACTGCTCCCTGCTGCTCCCTACTGCCCCCTGCTGCCCCCTACTGCTCCCTGCTGCCCTCTCAGTCACGTGGTCTCTCTCCTCCAGAAGTTTTTACCGGCCAGCGGTGCCGACTTCACCCTGCAGCTCCTGCAGGCCAAGTTGGGTCTGAACTCGACGACGTGAGTCGGACACTTCCGGTTGACCCATCCAACATGGCGTCCGTCTTCTCTCACGCCGTTTCTGCTCTTCCTCCTCAGAGATTTTGTCATCAACTTCCTGCTGTGCCAGGAAGCGCTGCGGGCGCCGGGCCAGGACCTCTTCCTGCGGCTGACCCAAACCTCGCTGCTGCCCTTCTATGTCCTGGTTCTGACCGTCTGCCTGCTGTCCGCCCTGCAGGCCGCCTTCAGGAGGCTCAGGTGAGGCAGAACCAGAACCTTTTAGCGGTTCTGAGGAGAATGTGAGTTTGTCCAAGGTGGAGGCTGCCTGTTGGTCCAAACTTTAAAGGGGAACCTGCAGCTTTGGGTCGATGACATCACAGCAGGTAGGAAGATCGTCATTCCAGTTGGTTTTGATCCAGTTTATAACCGAAGGTCCCAAAGAGGAAACGCCTCCAACAGGCAGTTTAGTTAATAAAAATTAATTTAAGAGCTTTGTGCCTCTTGTGATGTCATCAGAGACCTTTGTGAGGAATCTTGTTTTTGGAGATTTTCCAGCAGAATAAATCGTCTTCCTGCTGCGATGTTTTTCTGTTGGTGACAAAACGCACAGGAAGACGTTTTGGTCGAGTTTCCTGTGAAGTCGCCCTGATAGCTTTAACCTGTCTGCCCGCCCAGCGGCCGGCCAATCAGCAGCAGCCTCAGACTGCAGGACCGGCAAATCGGAGAGCAACCTGCCGTCGCCTATCACCTCCTCCACACCCTGCTGCTCGGCGTCCTGACGCTGCTGTTCGACGGGTCAGTTCGTCCTGATGTCTCTGTCTGTCCTGATGTCTCCGTCTGTCCTGATGTCTCCGTCCTCTTTCTGTCTTGCAGGGTGAAGTATTTGTGGACACCGTACGTCTGCATGTTCACGGCGTTCGGCGTGTGTTCTCCTGACCTCTGGATGACCTTATTGAAGTGGCTCAGGCTGAAGTCCGTCCATCCGGTCGTGTTGGTCGGTATCGACCAATCAGGATGCATAAATATCAGCATCTTTGCATTTCGCCTCTGACTCCAGCAAATAATAGTCATTTCATGATGATGCATTCAGGCTCTCTGTGATATTTATACTTTTGTTTCATGCAACTAAAGGTTTAGGAAGTAAAGGAACTGAAGTCTTTAAGAAACCAAAGCAAGTTTTAGGAAAGTTGCTTTTCTAAAAGTTATTCTTTGTTGTGTTGGCAACATGTTATTAAAATGGTGAGACAGTTCATCGAAACTGTTTCTTCATGTCAGCATGAAGAACTGAGCTGTGAGCCTGACTTCCTGCTTCAGCTCTTGGCGCTCGGTGCCAGGCTGAGGATCCATAAACGGTCCGGTTCCGGTTCTGAGCCTCTGCTGTTGTTGTCTATCCAGTCTCTGATCCTGAGCACGGCGGTTCCAACCATCATCGGCTTCAGCTTGTGGAGAGAGGTGAGAATCCAGCACTGAACGCTCCTGCAGGGAGAAGGTTCTGTTCATGAGAGGTCCGCCTGGTTCTGGATCCGACCGGGTCCCACACAGATCCCCTCACTGAGGACATTTTCCAAGATGGTCGTCGACGGCCAACATTTATCACATTGAATACTTTTGCTGTCAAACATTTGGAAATAATATGTCGAGATAATTTTTTAATTTTTCAAGATGGCCGCCCTCATTCTCGGGATTAACATTTCCAGCGAGATGAAAACAAGATGGCCGCCATGTAATGGAGAATATATGGACGAATCTTTGCTTTGCTTATGCTGAACTGCTAACAGATAAAACATGAGTTGTATGAAGAGGAAAACTGAAGTGGAAACAAATGATGTGACATGAAGTTCAACCAAGTCATGAAATAAAGCAACATTTACGGCAATGACTGGCTTAGAAGGCTCGAAAACGGCGGCCATCTTGAAAAATGGCCGTCATTCTGAAATGACAGTGGCTGATGGGAACTATAAACCTGGCCTGAGGGGTTAGCATGCTAATGCTAATGCTAGTGTCCACCGCTGGATGTTTCCCGTTGCAGTTCTACCCGCGGGTTCTGGCGGAGCTGGCCGACCTGCAGGAGTTCTACGACCCAGACCTGATGGAGCTGATCGCCTGGATCAGGTGTTTCCTTTGCACTCTCTGTACGGCGGTCCTGGTTCCAGTTCCGGTTCTGGTTCCGTTAACCTTTTCTCTCTGCAGGTCTCAGGCTCCGGCCGTGTTCGCCGCCAGCCCTGTTCTACTGGGAACCATCAAGCTGTGTTCTGGTTCCGTTGTCACCAGTTTACCCGTTTACTCCAACTTGGACCTGCTGAAGAGAACCGAAGATGTGAGTTCAGATTATTTTATAATCTAGAGCCAGAAAATCTGGATTAAACTGGAGAAAGAAGCTGCTGCTGACAACTTCCTGTCTGTGGCTCCTACTTCCTGCTTTATACAGATCAACATGTTTCTGCCCTGGTAAAATGAGACATTTTCTTGTCTTTCCTGTTTTGAAATGTTTTTTTAATATTTCCCAGGTTTAACATGTTTACAGCTGCAGTTTGTAGCTTTTACTAAAAATATGTTTTAACAGTTTATGAGATAATCTGATAAGATTGATCTCCTGAGCTACTATTGTCAAAATGCTCCAAAAACAACCAATCAGAGCCAGGAGGCGGGGCTTAGTGATGTCAGTCAACTTCATGCATGGCAGATCATTTACCATAGCGGTGGCCATGCTAACTAGCCTTGGCTGTTGTGACAGTCTATGCTAGTTGCAGTGTATGAGAAAGGGGGCTGAGCAGCGCCACACAAGATTGTGATTGACAGCACTAAGACCCACCTCCTGGCTCTGACTGGTTGTTTCTAGTTCACACTGGGAGAAGATGAAGGAACTTGACTGTTTTTTCATAGATTATCTGTAAAAAAATATGCATAAAATATTATTTATAAAAGTTAGCTGTGGTTTAAGTGCGAAGCTTTCTGCAGACAGTAGCTGGTGATAAACGCTTCGATGGGTGTGTCCCTCAGACCTTCCAGGTGTACGCCATGATGTCCGCCGAGGACGTCTACAAGCGGCTGGCGGCCATCAGAACCGCCTACGTCATCGTGGAGGAGTCCATCTGCAGCGACGTCCAGCTGAGGACGGGCTGCCGGGTCAAAGACCTGCTGGACGCCGCCAACAGACAGGTGAGTCCCGCCGTGCCGCGCCGCGGCCTTCTGGTGCTCACCGGCTGACTGTTGTGACCCGTTCAGGTGGCCCGGTCCCAGACGGACTCCTTCTCCAAGCACGGCCGCTTCTGCCAGGAGGTCAAGATGAACTACTCCCCCTACACCAACTACTTCACCCGGGTGTTCTGGAACCGCTCGTACCACGTCTACAGGGTGAACCCCGTCATCTCCTTCCAGTACTGACCGCTGGACGGCTCTGGACCGGTTCTGGACCGGCTCTGGACCGGCTCTGGACCGGCTCTGGACTGGCTCTGGACCGGCTCTGGACTGGCTCTGGACCGGCTCTGGACCGGCTCTGGACTGGCTCTGGACTGGCTCTGGACTGGCTCTGGACCGGCTCTGGACCGGCTCTGGACTCTGCAGTCCCAGATGCAGTACTGCTGATGGCCACATGGTGGCCAGAGAGGCGCTGTGGACCACGCTCAAGTCACAGCCGGTTCTGATTGTCTGAAGCTCTGGGTCGGTCAGGTTCTGCAGCGGGAACATCCAGCACAGACATGGTTCTGTGCAAAAGTTATAGGTCAGAATGAAAAAAGAAATCGGACCTGAAGACGGCGAGGAACTGGACTGAGCTCCAATGAGACTCAGGCTGAGCTGGAACGACCGGCACCACGGTGTGGATCCTGTGTGGATCCTGTGTGGATCCTGTGTGGATCCTGTGTGGATCCTGTGTGGATCCTTCTTCTTCCTCATGTGAAATCCAGCTCCAGTGATTCTACCTGGCAGGAATGGGAGAATCACTCCCATTCGTGTTTATTTGGTTGTCATTTTGTTTTTCCTTCCTGAACGTTTCACCCACCGTTACCGTGGTAACAACGGCAGGTGCTGAACACCTGGAGAAATCTGAAGGAGGTTCTGGTTCTGGTCCTTGTCCCATCAAGGTTGAAATTAGAACTCATTCAGGACCAAAACCCAAAGTGGCCCCTGCGGTTCTGTTTCTGATCTTTTTTTACTCCTGTTGCTGCAGATTTGATCAGGAACTACTGAGAAAAATGAAAGGATATTATAAATGACGTTAAAAAATCCTGTTTTTTATTTCTGTCTATGCTTCACAAATTCAAACAATGAACATTTTGTCCCTTTAATCAGTTTAGCTGCTAATTTTACTTTTATTTCCATGCAGTTTATTGGACAGAAAACCGTTTTCTGAATGTTTTGCCGTTTCCTGCGCTTGGCTCCACCTGCAGCGCTGCTGCTGCTGCAGATGCTGCTGCTGCTGCAGATGCTGCTGCTGCTGCAGGTGGAGTTTTATAGCAATGATATTTTAGGCTGCTTGTATCAAACAGCGCCGGTGCTTCTGCCTTAGAGTGAGATTTCAGCCGAGAAGCTTTCAGAATTAAATCTGATGTGATCACGATGTTTGTGTTTCTGGTTCTTCTGCAGTCATAAGAAGAAACTTTTATTATCTGACACCAGTTTATCTGCTTTCTTCCTAACGCCAAACAAGTCATGGAGAGAAGCTAATATGGAAGGAATATTATGCTAATCATTTCAGTTCAATTATGAAACGAGACTTTTTCATATTAATTCCAGTTCATTACCATCGCTGGAACTGGGTTTAATGGTGTCCCGAGCGCCTGAACCTGCGCAGAAGCTTCTGCGCAGAAGCTGCGTCTCCTTGGTGACAGACCGGAACCGGAAGTAGACATGCGAGCCGCAGAGTGAGAACAGTCCGTGTAGCCGCTCCTGCTCGATGTTTTAACGTTTTTACACAGTTTTCGGCTCTGGCAGTTCGGTCGGAGGTAAGGCGGAAAGTTTCTGTTGGACTTGAGCGGAGAGAGTGATGCTTCGGCGCCATGTTGGCCAGAGCAGCTGCGGCTCTGTGTCTCATGCTAAAGCTGCGGCTCTGTGTCTCATGCTAATGCTAATGATGCTACAGGTGTTGCTCCAGCTGTTGCTGCGGCTGATGATGGAAAGGTTCCCGTCGAGCTGAGAAGAATAAATCTGCTGTAACATCGCTTTGTTACTTGTGAAAACAGCCATCAGTAAAGGGACATTTCATGGTTCTTCCGATGACACAAGTTTCCTTTATTGTCCCACAGATTCACTCGAAGGTCAAACTAGTTGCATCAAATGCAGTTATTATAAAGTTTTGCATGTGTGGCCGAAACTTGAAGGGAGCAGTTTTATTTTGGCGACGAGTTTTCCCTCCAGTCTGCCGGTTCTGGTTCTGCGGCTCGGTCCATTCTCACGTGTCGGTCGTCCCAGCAGGGCGGGATGAGCGCGGAGGCGGCGGACCGGGTCGCGGCGGTGACGGGCAGTCGGCCCGGGACGCCGCTGCAGGTGTCCTGGTTCGAGTTCCTGCTGGACGGCGGCCTGCTGGAGACGCACCTGCAGAAAGCCAGCCCAGGTGAGCGCTCCACGCCGCAGAGGCACGGTTCTGGTTCCGCCGGGTCCGAGGCTCACGCACGGCACCGTGTCCCGTCCAACAGACCCCGCGCCGGTCCAGCTCATCGTGCAGTTCCTGGAGCAGGCCTCCAAGCCGTCGGTGAACGAGCAGAACCAGGTGCAGCCGCCGGCAGACAACCGCAGGAACCGGACCCTGAAGCTGCTGGCGCTGAAAGTCGCCGCTCACATGAAGTGGGACCTGGACAGCCTGGAGAGAGGGTACGTGCTGGTTCTGGTTCTGGGCCGGTTCTGGTCTGGTTCTGGCTGACGGCCTGGGTTCTGTTCCTCTGGGCCAGGCTGACCATCCCGGTGGTCAACATGCTGCTGAACGAGCTGCTGTGCGTCAGCAAGGTTCCGGCCGGCGTGAAGCACGTGGAGCTGGACCTGTCCACCCTGCCGCCCACCACCGCCATGGCCGTCATCATCTACAACCGCTGGTGAGGAGCGGCTCCGGCGGGTCGGGCCTGTCTGTCTGGTTCCAGGTGAAATGTGTGTGTTGTGGCGCAGGGCCATCAGGACCATCGTTCTCAGCAGCTTTCCGGAGAAGCAGAACAAACCAGGACCTCATCAGATAAACATGTAAGCGCCGCCGCCACTTCCTGTCGCTCAGAGAAGGTTTAATCTGAAAACACCCAGAGCACAGTTTGTTTTTACTGGTAGACAGGGGCGGAGCCAGAGGGGGGCAGGAGGCCCCCATGTAACAGCAGCAGGTCTTTATTAGCCACACGAATATCCAAAGAAGAAAAACAATTATACACATATGAAAAGAAAATGTATAAACCTTTAATTAAGCCATGTGATGATATATATATCTATAGATTTTTACCAGCCTCCATTCTGATGAAAGCAGCAAAGCTGATGTTGTTCTCCTGGATGTTTCTCTTGTTCTGCGCTGTGATGCAACTCAAAGGCTGAAGCCACTGGAGTTATTCATTCTTCCTCCACGCAAAATAAAAAGGAAAACAACCGAAGGAGGGAATCAATGTTCGTCGTTTGGAGCAGAGGTCGCGCTAGATGTTTTTCGTTGTCCATCGAAGGAAAAAATCATTTTATTTCCATTCAAATGAAACATTTAGCTTTTTCTCTGCAGTGAGAGCGTTTTTCATATCAGGTATCGTTTCACCAAATGAACTGATTAGAAGACGGCAGAACTCTGATCGTTTCCCGATCGTCTCGGCGGGAGAAGAACCGGCTGAAGCGGATCAGCTGCTCCAGATCCTCTGGGCTCCAGAACCTCTGGGCTCCAGATCCTCTGGGCTCCAGAACCTCTGGGCTCCAGAACCTCTGGGCTCCAGAACCTCTGGGCTCCAGAACCTCTGGGCTCCAGATCCTCTGGGCTCCAGAACCTCTGGGCTCCAGAACCTCTGGGCTCCAGAACCTCTGGGCTCCAGAACCTATGGGCTCCAGAACCTCTGGGCTCCAGAACCTCTGGGCTCCAGAACCTCTGGGCTCCAGATCCTCTGGGCTCCAGAACCTCTGGGCTCCAGAACCTCTGGGCTCCAGAACCTATGGGCTCCAGATCCTCTGGGCTCCAGAACCTCTGGGCTCCAGAACCTCTGGGCTCCAGAACCTCTGGGCTCCAGAACCTCTGGGCTCCAGAACCTCTGGGCTCCAGAACCTCTGGGCTCCAGAACCTCTGGTCTCCAGAACCTATGGGCTCCAGAACCTCTGGTCTCCAGAACCTATGGGCTCCAGAACCTATGGTCTCCAGAACCTCTGGGCTCCAGAACCTCTGGGCTCCAGAACCTATGGGCTCCAGAACCTCTGGGCTCCAGAACCTCTGGTCTCCAGAACCTCTGGTCTCCAGAACCTATGGGCTCCAGATCCTCTGGGCTCCAGAACCTATGGGCTCCAGATCCTCTGGGCTCCAGAACCTCTGGGCTCCAGATCGGAGACGATACTCTGACAGATACCATTCTTAAAATGATCGATAGTGAGCTCCGCGATGCTCTCTGTGCTGATTGAGGCGAGGATGAGGAGATCCGACATGTTACTTCAGTTTTTCGTTTTTAGACCACCATCAGCGTAAGCAGAGTCACCGTTGTACGTTTGTCGTCTGATGTGATCAATTGTCAAACGGACATCTGCACTTTCACTTCTTATTCAGCTGCTGCTCTATTTAAACTACAGTAAGTACATCAACGCAGCTTGATCACACATCCCATCGGCTATTGCATGTCACTAATATATCGATCTATTGAATAGATAGATAGATCTATATATAGATGTACACACGTTCTCGTTTTCACCCTCCGTGAGAAAGCCCTGGGCCCCTTTAGGCCCCTTTAGGCCTCCAACTTTTAAAGTCTAGCTCCGCCACTGCTGGTAGAACCCATGAACAAAACTCTTCAGCTGCAGCGTGTTTGTGTTGGATGATGTGTTCACTGACACTTAGAGTGAAACAGCACATCATTTATAGTGACTCTTCACTTCAGGAACATTTCAATGTGCAGCGCTGCAGCTGATTGGCTCATCTCTGACTGCAGCAGCAAAACCTCAGAGCATCAGGACCACAACAAGAGATTTGTTTTAGTCTTTAAATAATGACAATAAATCATAATAACACATAAAAGATGTAAAAGGTTTGGCTCGAGTTATCCAGGTCTGAAAGAACCGAATCCTGTCGGTGATTTGATGAAATAGTTCAACTTCAAGGTTCTCAGATTTTAATTGTAATTTTTTGTGAAGTTCTCCTAAAAATAAAACTCTATTTATTTGAGAATAGTTAAAGATTGCAGATTGTAAAAAAATGTTTTTCTTATTTTTAAATGAATTTTGTGCAATTTTAGTATATTTTTAATGTTGTTTAAAACTATTTGAAGCGATTAAATGAAAACTACAGAATGTGACACATTTTGTCTGATTGTCAGAATAACTGATTTAATAAAATGACTTCAGTTCTGCTGCTCTCATAAAACACATTCATTGTTACGTTAATGAGCGCCGGCTGCACAGAAGCTCTGTGGCTGAAACTGTTGGGATGATAAAGTCGCTGCCCCCTGCAGGCTGAGCATGGTGCAGCAGGAGAAGGAGCTGACGGAGAACATCCTGGCCGTGGTGAGTAGCCGCTGATGTGTGGTGTGACTCTGCTGGCTGCAGCTCAGGGTTTGTCCTGTCAGCTGAAGGAGCAGGCGGCCGACTCGCTCTGCGTCCTGGACGCCGCGCTGCGCCTCAAGAAGGACTTCTACGTCCACACGCTGCGGACGCTGGACCTGCTGGGCTCCGACGCCGCCGCCGCCAACGGAGAGACCGAGTCCTCCACCGCCGGCCTGCGGATCGGCGCCGACGAGCTGCACTGCCAGGTGAGCGACGGCTCGGCCGCCGCCGCTCCGGCTTGGGGCCGGGTTGACCTCTGACCTCTGATCCAGGTGCATTACGACCTGGGAGCCATCTTCTTCCAGCGAGGCTGCACGGACCAGCCGGCCTATCAGAAGGCCCGGGACCACTTCAGGATGACCAAGGAGCTCCTCAAGAAGGTAGGCCGCCACACAGCGGTCCGTTCTCCAGAACCGGAACCAGAACCTGTCTCTGTCCCAGCTGGACCAGGCCGTCCACGTCCACCTGGATGAGAAGCGCCTGGCCGGCTACTGGAACGCCTGCAAGGCTCTGACCGGCGACCGCGACCCGGCCGACACGCACACCACCCGCTACGACCGGATCAACAGCCTGATCCGGAACCAGGACTACCAGGTGGGTTCTGCCGGGCCGGGCCACCCGGGCCGGACCAGGACTCGGTCTGAACCGTTCTGCTTCCAGGCCGTGGTGGAGGCCTTCATCAGGGACAACGCCGCCCGCAGCTTACCGACCCACTTCAGGCGCTCGGTTCTGAGGGAGCTGCTGTACCGGGTCCAGCAGGGGTGAGTTCAGAACCGACCCGACTCTTCCTCTGCCCGCCTGGCAGACAGAACCACCTGCTGCAGACCTGGAGGAATCCTAAACATTCAGAACCGCTTGTTCTGCTGGGTTTGGGTTCAAAGGTTCTGTGGGTTTATGATCACATGCGGGTCACGCTGAGGTCCTTCCGGTCCGTGTCTCTCTGCAGGGAGTCGGGTCTGGACGCGGTGTGCCGCCAGCTGTGTGTCTGCAACGCGGTGCGAGACGCTCTGGACGGAGAGATTCTGAGCGTCCGGTTCCAGCAGCTGCTGCTGCGGCCCGGGAAACGGACCCTGGACTTCATGCTGGAGGTAACCGGGTCCGGTTTCACATTCCCTCCGTCGCTGACGCGCGGCGAACCGACGCCGCTCCTGTCTGCTGCCGCAGGTGTCCTCCCGCTCTCTGGACCGGGACCAGCCGTCGGCCAGGAGGAACACCGCCGCCTTCCTGAGGTGAGTCCAGAGATTGGACCATCAGAACCGGCCCGCTCTCCTGGAATCACCATAGCAAGCACAGGCCCTCCTGCTGGGCGCTGGGCTTGGATCAGTTTGGAGGAACTAGATCGATCGGAGCAGAAGTTTGGGGCGGTTCTGACCGGGTCTCTGCTGTTCCTGCAGGACTCTGTGTCAGAACCTGGAGGACCGGGTTCTGGTTCTGACCGTCACGTCTCATCCGCTCTTCCTGGAGCTGCTGAGGGACGACGACCGCAAGGTTCTGATGGAGCAGACGAGGAAGAAGGGCGGAGTCAACCTGAGCGCCAAGCCGCTTCCGTCCTTCTACGACATCCCGGGTAGGGAGCCGGTTGTGGTTCTGTTCAGCCCGGTCCTGGTTCTGACCCAGCTCTCCTGGCCCTGTAGCTTCAGCCAGTGTGAACGTCGGCCAGCTGGAGCAGCAGCTGATCCGGGCCTTGGACCCGCGCCGGATCCGACAGATCCTGATCGAGCTCCACGGCTTGGCGGAGCGACCTTTCTGGAGGGTCAACGGAAAGGTCACCCCCCCCCCAACCCCCGCCTGGTTGTTAACGGTAACCATGAAGCTCTGAACCAATCAGCGTCTGTCTGTCCGCAGTGGGAGGTTCCTCCAGATTACATCGGCGCCGTCCTCGCCATCAAAGACGGCCTGACCCGAGATCTGGTCTACATCCTGACGGCCAAAGCTCTGCACTGCATCTCCATAAAGGTTTAATCCCAAACCCTCTGGATTAACCAGGATTTCATCCGTCAGTTTTCTGGAACCGGTTCTGTGTCCCTGCAGGACTTCGGCCCGGCCCGCCAGCTGTTCGCCGCCTGCCTGGAGCTCGTCACCGAGTTTTCTCCGAAGCTGCGGCAGGTGATGCTCAACGAGACGCTGCTGCTGGACGTACGCGCTCACGAAGCCGCCACCACCGACGGCAGCCGGGAGCGTCCGCCGCCCGACCTGGTTAGCCGGGTCAGAGGTTACCTGGAGATGAGGATCCACGGTGAGTTGGTGCCTCTGCAGGTTCTGGTTCTGGTCGGATCCAGTTTCTTAGTAATGGTTCAGGAGAGGAACAGAGCTCCGTCTCAGTTTGGAAGATCCTGAAGAGTTTCTGGGTCAGAACAGAAACCATCAGAATAAGATCACTGAGGGCCAAGAAAAACAGGCTCCTCCCCCTATAGGCTCCTCCACTAATAGGCCCCGCCCCTATAGGGCCCTCTCCCTAAAGGCCCCGCCCCCTATAAACCCCTTCTCCATAGGCTCCTCCCCCTATAGGCTTCTCCCCTATAGGCCCCACCCCTATAAACCTCTTCTCTATAGGCCCCTCCCCCTATAGGCCCCGTCCCCTATAGGCCCCTCCCCCTATAGGCTCCATCCCCTATAGGCCCCTCCCTCCATAGGCTCCATCCCCTATAGGCTCCTCCCTCCATAGGCTCCTCCCCCTATAGGCCCCGTCCCCTATAGGCCCCGTCCCCTATAGGCTCCTCCCTCCATAGGCTCCTCCCCCTGTAGGCTCCTCCCCTACAGGCCCCTCCCCTACATGTTTCTCCTTCAGTTTCCTCCGCTGTAGATTCTTCTTGCTCCTCCTCCTTGAGTTTCAGTTTTTAACTGGATCAAAGGTCCCGATCGGAACCAGAACAGGAGTAAACTGAGAATGGGTTCAGTGTGGCGGTGACCTGAAGGTTCTCCTGGTTCTGTCAGACGTTCCCCTGCGTCAGGTGATCGGGGAGGAATGTGTCGCCTTCATGCTGAACTGGAGGGAGAACGACTACCTGACGCTGCAGGTGCCTCCGTCTCTGGTCATGAACAACCCGTACATCAAGGTAAACCGCTGCGTGTTGCTGCTCCCTCCTGCTGAGGAAGGCCAAGGTGTCATGATGTTCTCTGGTTCTGGTTCTGAAGCTGGGCCAGCTCCTGGCCTCCACCTGCAAGGAGCTCCCAGGTCCTAAAGAGAGTCGGCGCACTGCCAAGGAGCTGTGGGAGGTGGTGGTGCAGATCTGCAGCGTCTCTGTCCAGCACAAGCGCAGCAGCGACGGCCGCCTGGGTCTGATCAAGCAGCGCGAGTCGTCTCTGGGCATCCTGCAGCGGTGAGTCTGCATCGGGCCGCAGTGCCCGGCTGTTTGGACCCGTCTGGACCCGTCTCAGTCGCATCATTCTGCTCTGTTTCCCTTCCAGGAGTAAATTCATCACCTTTACAAAGAAACTCAGGGTGAGTAACGACCTTCAGAAACATTTTTGTGTGCAGCTCTGGGTTCTGACCGCCCTCTGCCTCCCAGGAGCCGCTGGTGCTGACCACTCTGATCTCGCTGTTTGTGAGACTCCACAGCATCGTTCGGGTGCGTCCCTGAAGCTGCTTCTCCTTCTGCGGAGTTCGAGGCGGTCGGTTCATGTTTCCAATCATTTCTCCTCAGGACGACATAGTGAACGAAGTGACAGCCGAGCATCTCTCCATCTGGCCGTCCTCTCTTCCAAAGTGAGTTCCTGTAGGGGTTCTGCAGTGGGCATGAAGCTGCGGCGCCCCCTGCTGTCTCCTCCTGCTGTCAGTGATCACAGTGTTTGTGTTGAGCAGCATCCAGGCGGTGGACGTGGAGGCGGTGGCTGTGACCGTCAAAGAGCTGGTGTCCTACGCCTTGACGCTGAACCCCAACAACCAGGCCTGGCTCGTCACTCAGGCAGACATCTACTTTGGTGAGTAACACTACTGCAACCGGCAACCGGCAACCTGCAGCTAAGAGGAATCTGTGTTTTGATCTCTTTGCAGTGACCAATCAGTACTCGGCTGCGCTCAGCTTTTACCTGCAGGCCGGAGCCGTGTGCTCAGACTTCTTCACCAAACCTGTTCCTCCCGACGTCTACACAGACCAGGTGAAAAGTCACTCCTGTTGAGAGCTTGTCAGGCAGAAGGCCTTGGGTGGAGGCAGTTTAGGCCATTTGCAAACCGTCTCCTTGGGAAACCCATAACTAATCGCTGTTACTGTGTGGCAACTGATTGTTCCCAAGGGTCAAGTGTTTGACCCTTGGGAACAATCAGGCTCTTCCTTATGGTGGCCCCATACTGGTTGGGCCCCATACTGGGTGGGTCTGTACTGGGTGGGTCTGTGGTTTGGCTAAAACAGTTCTGTTGGCTGCATGGCAGGTTTCTGGGAGGAAGTTCAACTCAAACTCTGCAGGTTCTGAAACAAACTGTGGAAAAGTTTAGTAGGGTGGAGGACCTGTGATGCTGAGGGTCGGCTTCTCCTCCAGGATCTGGACCTGGTTGTCCCAGGTCCAGATCCAGAACATGTGGTCACGGTTGTTCCGGAGACGCAGTCGGCCTTCCTGCATGAACACGTCACAGATCCCGTTTTATTTTGGTCACCATGAAGTTCATCTGTTAGGTGGCTGACAGATGAATCCTTGCTGCAGTTCGGAGCGCGCTCAATTGGGGGTCGTTGACGTTCTCCCTGTGAGAACATCAGGATGTGTTGAAAGGGAAAACCTGAGCAGTTCAGCGCTGGCCAGTAGGGGGCGCAGCTGGGAGAGCAAAACCAGGCAGGTGGAAGAAGAGCAATGAGAGGTGAACCCGTCTGACCCGACCCGCTGTCTTCTGCAGGTTCTGAAGAGGATGATCAAGTGCTGCTCCATGATGAACTGCCACACACAGGTCAGAGGTCACAGCGGCCTTCGCCTGCAGGTGCAATCAGGGTCAAAGTTCACTCTGTTGTTCTGATCCCCAGGTTGCCGTTCTGTGCCAGTTTCTCCGGGAGGTCGACTACATGACGGCGTTCAAAGCTCTTCAGGAGCAGAACAGGTAAAGCTCACCTGGATCCCATCGTTCCCGCTGAGGCGTTTCTAACGGATGTTTCCACAGCCACGACGCCATGGACTCCTTCTACGACTACATCTGGGACGTCACCATCCTGGAGTACCTGACTCGTATCCTTTCTGCTGAAGGCCAGGCCTTCCCCCGCAGCCTCCGCTTGACCCGGTTTTCCTGCTGAGTCTGAGCTCAGATATTCACCACAAACGCGGCGAGACGGAGAAGAGGCAGATCGCTGTAAGTCACTCACCGACAAACCGCCGCCCGGGATTCGTACTCAGGTTAAACTCGGATTTTTCAAACCAAGCATGCGCACGCCAGCAGCCATTTTGCGTAGCGAATCACAGCTGGCCCTCAGAGCTTGGTCAGGTTCTACAGACGCCATGAAGGTCGATGCAAAGCACCCTGGGAACTTTGCCTTTCATTTACGCAGCCCAGCTGATAATCAGTGTTGTTTCATGACCAACACCACTGCATCGTAAAAACATTTCAAACGTCAGAAAGCCACAGCTCATTCACATAAACCACAGTTAGCCTTCATCCTCATCTTACTAACCGCCAGCTCAGGTTCAGTCCAAAGGTTCGCAGTGTTGGGTTTAGGGGTCAGAGGTCAGGGCTCTTTCTGCTGTCCGTCTTCAGACTGCAGGGCGGCGCCGCGGCGTCACGCTGCTCCATTGAGGCGCTGCAGTCTGGAGCTACACGCCACCTAGTGGTCACAGTTATCTCGGCATCTGCTGCTTTTTAACACAATCCTGGAGCACATGGTGAATGCAGCGCCATCACTGCACAGCAGAGACATGAAAAAACAAGAGGAAGACAGTTGTAGAGGTCCAAACATCACCAGGTCCAATCCGGAGCCTCCGATTGGCCAGAATCACTGGGAATGTTTCCCACATTGTGATGATTTATGCTTAATCTGGGGTAATAAAATCAAGCTGAGGGGACGACCGTGAGAAACCCTTGAGATGTGGACTTTGGTTTAGGACTGAGGCCTGATGGACGTCCTTCGGTCCCCTGAAGTTGAGGCTCGTATGGCGCTCCGTAAATGTCTGAGGGAATCAAACGGTGCAGATTCAACACCCACCTCCACCTGTCAGCATTTCCTTTTGTTTCCTAACAAGCCAGACGTGCGTCAGAGTTGGACACACATTTTCACGTGTTTCGATACGTCTGCAGTGACGCATGAGAGCTTTAAGGATGAAACCCCGGAACACGTTTCTGATCATTTTCCCTGATTTGTCCTGAACCTGGATGAAGGGAATCTTTTAGCTTTAACCCTAACACTGGCAGACTGATTTAAATGTGAGGGTGATGATGCTCTGCTCCACCTGTCCAGGTGAAGGCCATCGGACAGACGGAGCTGAACAGCAGCAACCCGGAGGAGGTTCTGCAGCTGGCGGCCCAGAAGAGGAAGAAGAGGTTCCTGCAGGCCATGGCCAAACTCTACTTCTGAAAACACCGAGCAGCAGCTGATGGAATAATAAAGAATCGAACAAAGCA